TCAGCACCATTTATTTATTTTTTCTTTTTTATACATTTTTGCAATGACTTTTTAAATGGGTATGTCTAATATATTTTTCATAGTCATGTATAACTACCATTTTGAGAGCTCTTTATTCTTTGTCCAGGACCATATAGCAACTTCTCTTGTCTTCTGGATCACAGTCTTTGTTATTTCCTATATGCTACGTCTGGAGGTGTTCGAATATTTCGATTTTATTTTTTTTAAATTTTTAAATTTTAATAATTTTATTGAAAAAAGTAGCAATGAAATATTTTCAAAACAGGTTAGTAGTACAGTTACAATAATCGATACATTACATATTGTTGTCTTTGTAGTAGTTATTCCTAGTACAAGATGCAGACATGATATCTTGTCTAAACACTATTAGTTCAAAACCTTTTTTTCACTGAACTAAGAGAAAGCAGCTGTATATTTATGCTATTGTATATAGATATATTTTTTCTACTACAAAATGGTCCATTTATATCCCCTTTTTGTTTACTTTTGTCAGAGATGTGTATTCCATTGCAATATTTTGATTTTATATAACTGGAAAATATTTTACTTTTAGTTTTCAAAGGTATGTTTGCTAAGTATACAATTCAATGAGGACAGATTTTTTTTTTTCAGTCCTTTGAATAAATAAGTCTAGTTTCTTACCCACTTGCTCTTTTTTTTTTTTTCTAATGTGGAATAAGATGCTATTTAATTTTGTTCTTTCATACCTAATATTTTTTCTACATATACGCTTTAATGATTTTTTTCTTTACAATTAGTTTTGGACAATTTCATTTTTGTATATCTTGGTATGATTTTATTTGTATTTCTTATGCAAAAGGTTCATTTTTCTTGGAAATGTGGTGCTGTAATTTTAACTAAATTCAGAAATTTTAAATCTTTAAATATTTATTGTCTACTTCCTTCTATGAGAATTCTAATTATATGAATATAATTTTCTTGATTTTGGGACAGAGTAAACTATTATATGACTGATCTGTAAACTCTTTCTTCATGCCTATTTTATTTTATTTTTTTTAAATATTTCTTTTATTTTTTATTTATTACATTTTTTTTTTTTTTAGTGTGTGTGTGTGTGTGTGTGTGTGGCCAGCTCAGCCCACCAGGGGGTGGGGCTGACTGGCATGTGGTGCTGGGGGATTGAACCGCAGTCCCTGTGCTTTGCCAAGCTAGTTCCAAGTAGGTGCTTTAGACCACTGAGCCATCTCTCCAGCCCCTTCATGCCTATTTTAGATAATTTTTATTGTTACATTCATTTAAGTTTGTAAGTAATTTTTTACAATGTGCAATCTATTATTAATCTCATGTCATGCATTCATTTCAGAAATATTTTTCTAAAATTCACTCTGCCTATATTTTTCACATTCCATTATTTGTCTACAATTTTTAATTTGCTTTGCAATTATTATTGATTTTCAATAAAGTTAATAATGAGTAAAAAAAGAAAAAGAATAAAAGATACTTATCAGAGAACAAAGGCTTATTGAAGGGTAGGCCCTCCAGACTGGGGACATGCATATTTTTGGCTTTACATATACGGAGGAAAAATTCTATATTGATAGAAAATAATTAAGCATTACCTTTGCAAATCTATGTGAAGTTTGAGAAAGCCTGGCCACATCTTCAAGATCCAGGTAAGAAATGATGCTTAGGAGCAGTGTATCTGAGAGCCGTTCCAGGAAGTCAAATCTACCTCTGCACAAATTGAAGACATAGTCTAATGTTCTTGAGCCAAATATTAAGGCAACTTGAACTGTAAGTCAAAGAAACCAACAAACCAACACGGTTATTATATACACTCATCTAAAAACTGTAAAAGTAACAGATGCAAGATCTGGGTCATTTGTCCCCCTGAGAACTGGCAGGGTTATGCTTAGTGAGTCCTATTATCACCAAGCTGTTTTTTGGACGAATGGCATGATTTTTTTTTTTTTTTTTTTTTTTGAGATAGGTCTTGCTGTATAATTCAGGCTGGCCTTGAACTTACCATGCAGCCCAGGGTGGCCTTGAATTCATAGTGATCTTCCTGCCTCTGCCTCCCAGAATGCTGGTATTGCAGGTGTGTGTCACCACACTCAGCTAATGATATGAATTCTGAAACATGCGTTCTACTTGCCACTCAGTTACCAGTGACTCACCAAGACTGTGCTGGGGCAAGGAGATGGGCTCTGTGGGCCAGTTGGCCAACCAAGTGACAAGGACCTACTGCACAAAGCCTGTTGGCTTCCCTCCAGCCCACTACACATGAGGGCACCCTTCTCCAAGGTCAAGGCCATCCTCATGGTAGAGCTCAATCAGTTTCTCCACATTTACGCATCTACAAGGCCACACTCAGAAGGCAGCAAGGGGAGCACCTCTGGGTGGCACATTTGACCTTAAAATGAGCCAAGGGTTACTGTTTGTTGGTCAAGAAAAATGGAAGGCTGGTGGTCTGCCTCACCTGGCAGGATTCCTGAATTCCTACAACATAAACTGTGGGGTCAGTTTACAATCCATCACTATCAACCCATCAGAATCCTACTTCAAAAATTAAAAATAAGGCCAGCCAGATAGTTCAGCAGATTAAATAGATGTAGATGCAGGAACTGGGTTCCATCCTTAGTGTGCTGTGCTGGCCCCACCTGGGGCATGCTGAGAGAGTGATTGAGACTGGGCATGGTGGCGCCCCCACCTCCCCTCCCCGCAATCTTAGCACTTGGGAGGCTGTAAACAGGAGGATCACTGTGAGTCCAATCTGTGTAGTGAGACCCTGTAGACCCTGCACTAAATACATTAAAAAAAAAAAAATACAAAAGGGCTTGGTAAGCAATCCAGTGCAAAGTCCACTGATACTATCCTCAGTTCTGGGGGGAGGTGGGAAAATCCTATTGTTGTGCATGTCATGTACTAACAACTACACCTTCATCCATCACCTCCCTATAAAAGGAAACGTAGCACAGCAGCTCTGAGGTTCCAGGACAATGACAGTAACACACACAACCAACAAGCACCCTTGCATGAGATGTCAACATACTGTCTGGGCACAATCTAAAAACTACTTCTCTTGGAATGCTAAGCCGCAGCCTTCCATGAGCCCACCAGGATGCATCTCCAGTCATGACTGAGCCTATGTGTGTCTCCACTGTTTAGGTCCCCCTTAGGGGTAGCTCTAGGGATAGCAATACCGGGCTCTGGGTTCTCTGCTATATTCTCTTGGTGGAGGGAACTAGATCCCTGTGAGCCTCTAGCATCACTAATAACCTTTTATCCGCAGTGAGATGCTCTAGTAATAGCTACTCATCTATCCAGAATGGGTTCTATGCAATGAAGAGCACCTCAAAAGTATCTATCATTTTCTGCAGACTATCCTTGTAGGAGGGCAACTCATTTCAAAACCTTGCCAAGTCTGAGAGGGAATATGGATGGTGACACCCTGAGAATCCGGCTGGCTGTCCTTGCTGATTGACAGCTCAGGCTGGGTACTGAAGCAGAGGGAACATTCCCTCTGGGCTTACAAGCAGCCCCTGGCCCAACTGGGTGCCCTGTTGTGTCTTGTAAGGGGAGACTGGCCCTGCCTCTGGCCCAGGCTCATGCAGAGGTGGGTGGGCTTATTGGCAGGGGGCACACTTTGTTTTGTGACTTGGTGGTGCTGGCTGAGGCAAGGCCAGTCCTCCCTGTTATGTTCAGATTTTAAAATGGGGGCTCCCTTGGTGGCTCAGGCAAAGCCTTACTGTGTGGAGACATCAGTATGGGGGTCTCCTTCTGCTTCCCATCCTTCCTTGATGCCACGAGCATAAAGCTGCTCTTTCTGTCTTCCTCACGGAGATACATGAACGCTATCACATAAGGACTCTTATCTGCCTTGTCAGCCTTGAGACAAAACTTTCTAAGAGAGATGGGACTGGGCCATCTCTCCTCGGCCTCCAGCATGTACAACAGCCAAGCAGTATTGCAGTAATGGATTATTGTTATTATTACTACTATTACTATTACTATTACTATTACTATTATTATTATGGTCATGGCGGAACTACAGAAAGCTGACCATTTCCCCAAAATCCCTCCTAAGGCGCTACCATCACAAACTGTACTGGCGTTACTCATATGTTCTAAAAGGAGACTGAAAGAGAAATAAGAAGGAAAAGATCCCATAGAGAAAAATGGGCAAGTTGACCCACACCAATGCTTACAACAAAGGGCATCCCTTCCCACCAAACAAAGCTGGGCACACTCCGTCCAAAGCAATCGTATTCAAAGCACAAAAAAGCCTAGGCCCAACTGGTAGGTGGAGCTTGCCTGTAGTCCCAGCTACTCAGGAGGCTGGGACAGAGGGATCCTGTGATTTCATGAGTTTGAGACTGGCATAGGGGATATAGGGAGATATCCTCCACCATGAGAGAGGAAAAAAAAAAGCCCAAATCTGCAGGGTTGCTGCTCAGTGGTACCAGGTTCAGAGCGCTGAAAAGCAAATGGGCTGGGGAGATAGTTCGGCAGCCTAAGCACAAGGACCCCGGTTCGATCCCTGGTACCACATGTCAGGCAGGTCCTAGAATATTGGACATGGTAGTGCATAATGATAAACCCAGAGCTGGGGAGGCTGAGACAGGAGGATCACTACTACTCCAAACTGCATAGTGAGACCCTGGAAAGAGACAGAGAAAGAGAGAGAGAGAGAGAGAGAGAGAGAGAGAGAGAGAGAGATTAAAAAAGAAAAGCAAACAGGGTGGAGGGTTTCCCATGAGTTCCAATACATTCCTGGGACCCTGAGGCAACACCTGCACCTCATAATTATGAAGCCCATTAAATCTGCACAAACCACCCAGAACAAGGGGTCTTCAGCCTCTTGGACAGGAACCTCGTGCAAACAAGGACCAGTGCACACAGACTCAAAACTGATCCTGAGAACAGCAGCCCTCTGCTGTGCCCATTCTCTTACTGCTTTCAAAGCTCTGCAAGAGAGGGCCGTTCTTTTCTGCTGTTGCTAGGATTCCTTTGTGATTGTTTTGTTTGTTTGTTTGTTTGTTTGTTTGTTTTGTACCGGGAACCGAACTCACGATCTCATGCTTGCCAGGCAGGCACTGAAGAGGGGCCGTTCTGCCACTCGGTGCCCCTGAGATCAAGCCTGGATTTCACCGGCTGCTGCTAGCTGCAGCGCGGAAGGACGGGACCTGCTCCGCGCTTGGCGTGGCCAGGCCCACCCAGGGCTGGGGACGGCTAGCAGTTAAGGACCAGCAGGTCCAAAGTTTGGTCACCAAGAGCAAAAAAACCCAAAAAACAAAAAAAATAAAAAAAACAAAAATCAAAAAACACGCAGGCCTGCCAACCCACACAAGGAAAGGGGGGGTCGCGGGGGGGGGGCGGTGCTCTAGGCTCCACATATGCACACGCGCAGTGACAGCGCCTTTAGTGTCAAAATAAGCACAGCAGGAGCTGGCTGGTGGGCTGGCTAGGCCAGCAGATTCTTGCACTTCCTATGATCTGAACCACAAGGGTCAGCGTCAGTTTTAATCTCTCACTTGATAGGCTGAGATAGGTAACTGGTGCGCGAGCAAGGGCAAAGCCGGATGTAACTGGACAAAAGCAGGCTGTGAGTTACAATCACTGTCTACATGCAAAGGCGAGCCCTGAGTTACGGAGTTACGAGTTACGACCGGATGCCGGTGGCAAGGGGCGTCAGGGTGCACCTAGAAGGAATCTGCATGTTTGTTTTCCTTGTTACACAATTGCTGCCCGGGATTTGTGGTGAGACCCTGGGGCGCTCATTGTTTAACAACGCCTGCTGCATCCCCTTGACCCAAAATCCAGTCTAGGACCCCTTGACTCTGCCCCTCCCCTAGAGCCGGGCGGTGCTCAGAGAAAAACTGCTGATCCGCGTGGCTTTTCTGCCACCTTCCGACAAGCCCTCGAATTGTCTTGAAACACATTAATGTTTCCTAAATTTCACTGACTTGTGTTTTTATTTTTACACATTTGAGCATTACCTCCCCTACACCTTCTTTCATCCCTACTGTCAGACCCGACCTGGGCACAAGCTTCCAGCAAACCTGTTTTCAAAACCTGTTTTCGCCAAACTTCAGTTACCCCCAAAAGGGGCAACTGCCGCTCCCCACCCCAAAGGCAGGATAACACAAAGGGGTGTGTTGTCTTTGGACAAACAGCACAGCATGTCATGAAGCAAGGCACAAGACCTCCTCCCCCCCAGCACCAGGGACTGACGACATCGGCACACTTGCCTTGACGCTTCTGGAAACTCTAACCACAGATACTTGTCCTGACCACTCAGCAGGACGACCCCTCCTTTCTGGACTGTAAAACTCCTTGCCTCTTTTTGTGTAGGTACTGAGGGCTTTCTTGGCCTTCAAGTCGGCCTGCACCCAAGTACAATAAACTGTGTTCCGCCGCTTTCATGCAGGCCTGATCACGGGTCTCGCTTTCTGTACCATTTGTTACACCTACCCTGATACAGCTGGGTCAATTGAAAGAGGCAAAAAGAAAAACAGATTAGGACTTCATAAAAGTGACTGTAACTTTTCCCTAATATATTTAGGTGTTCTCTTAGAAATGAGTTCACAGTCAGCTAATACAACCTTATACCTTAAGCAGCTCTGATGTAGAAAACAAACAGGACACACACACACACACACACACACACACACACACTCAGACACTCAGACACACACAGAGTACACTGAATAATCAAGGAGTGGAAACAGGTTTGGATGACAGATGTTCAAATTGATCTGAGTAGTAATTAATCTGAGTAGTAGCCTGTAA